GGTTCACCTTCAAGGGACAAATAAATTGCAAGCTATATTCCTGGACTCAATGCTCGTTTATCCCATTGGGGGTTATCTGGAAGGTTTAACATATTGCCACCTCCACGAATTTTCCACAGAAGAGTTCGAAACTCTCGTTTTGTAAAATTGTCTCCCAAGCAGGAATATGTTACTCTACCTACCCAGGTGAGCAAGGGCTCATCTGGTTTTCGTTTACAGTGTTTGGCTTTCTTCTATTTCTGAATCCTTAAAGGACCTCTCTTCTACCATATACCTAGCTGGAGGGGGTGCTTCAGGTGCTTGCATGCCATCTGGAACAAAAGCGGTTTCCAACTTTATACCTTGTACTGGTGCTGAGGCCGCTACTGGGTCTAAATCTGCATTGTATGAGGGAAGTGGTTCAGCTTTGATTTCTTGAGATTTTAACTGGGAGCACAATTACTGATTCTTATGCTCCAATCGCATGGTTGCCTGTTGGTCTTCCATTCGATCACAGACTAATTTACAACACGTCTGTAACAGTAGTGGAACTAATTTAGGAATGTTCAGTTCGCATTTCTGGTTTTTACCCTTTGCTGTAATTGCTCCTGCTATCCCACTTTTTACTAACTGCTAGCACAAATTTTGTCTCAAAAGAAAGTCACTTTTTAAAGTCTCAAAAGAAAGTCACAAGATTAATTAACTGTGATTGGTCCTCCTTTTGGCACAGGCTCTTTAAAAGGTTTGCTTGCTTGGCATTATCATGAAGATAGTCATAGAAGCACATCAGCCTGTTTCCTTCATCTTGTTCAACCTGAGTTTCTTTGGCTTGTGCCAGGGTTTGGACTGCACGTGTGGCCTACAAATTGGGTTTTGAACCTTCTTCACCTTCCTCTAGCATACACCGCCATGCGCAAGAAACTGCAGCTTTGAATGAACCTGTGTTAGAGCAACAACTCCATCCTTCTTGAGTCATTTGAACTCCTGGGAACTTTACTGGGATTGGCTAAGCGCTAGAACATTTTGTGGTTAGTGTGGTTTGGTTCTGACTTTATTTTGTACTGCATTGTGGTCAGATACCCTTTTCACCTCTGACCTTTTCAGGTTAGGCTCCTGGAGGCAAATCTGTATTGTATCTTTTCAGGTTAGGCTCCTGGAGACAAATTTACAGATTGCAGCTTACTTCTAAGAGGCCTTGGCGTCGCTGAGCTGCTCTTCGTGGCTTGCCAGTACAGGTGTTTCATTGCTTTGACAATGTTGTGAAACCACAGGTTTCCCTGTTTCGGTGGCTCAGTAGCAACCGTGCAGTCAGAACACTTGGGTTTCTCTTTTGTCATTTTTGTGCTTTGTTTCTGTACTGTCAGCAAAACTGTAGATATGGGTATCACACCAGAGCTCAGAAATTCTACCAGAAGATAAAAGTAATCAAGGAGGCCAGGGAAATGGGAACAAAAATTCAAAAGGTTTAAATTGCAGAAAAGTAGAGTTAGATTTTTTTTAAACACGCATAAAACTACTTCCTCAATAAGAACAGAGGAGCAATGGAACAAGATGCCCAGAGAAGATGTGAAATCTCCTTCATAGCAGGTTTTCAAGGAGAAGCTGGACAAGTATTTGCCTGGGGTGGTTTAGGTATAACATGTCCTGTATTTATGCAAAGTGTTAAGACTAAATAACCTTTGAAGTCCCTTACAACTCTATGGTTCTGAGATTCAGTTTTAAGTCTGGTAACTTCAGAAATTAATTTATTTTAATGTATGCAATGGGGAAGGTAAGGAATCCTTTATTCATAGGTCTCAGCATCTGACAATATTTAAGTACACAAATGATCACAGCTTGTCTCTCAACTTATTTCAGTTCAATTTGCCTATCGTGACTAGCCAACATTAAAAAAAAAATCAAAAAAAAAAAATCACTGATTAAAATAGATTTAGATATATATAGTTCCAAAAAAGATTTTAAAGTTAAAAGTATCCCTTTAACAAACTGGACTTTTCAACCACAACAAAACAGCAAGCAGCGATCCCAAATATTTTCAATTATCATAATCAGGAAAAAATATATATCTCTACTGCATAGCTATCAGTCACACCAGTTCTATTCCATTAAAACCTTCAGTTCCATAACATGCAATATTATCCCCACAAATGCCATGTTATGAGGCATACTGAGATACACGGTAGAAAAGTCAGCATGCCAACGGAAGAGGATAATTAAGAGGGAGCATGACAAAACACAATTCTTTAGGAATGTATTAATGAAGACGCTGCAGAAATCATAGTGCTCTTATACAGTTTTTCAGAATTAAAGGACCAGTTTCCCTGAACTTCAATTTAATTCCTCCAGTGACAGCCAAAATAAAGAGATCTGATCAAACCGGAGTCAGTGATCATGTTCGTGACCAGGACTTTTGTCTCTGAGAACTCTAGGATTTTGGCTTGATGAAAACTGATTACTATCAATTTGCTCCCAAACATCTAATCAGCAACAGAAGGTCTGCAAATCTCTGACCACTATATTGGCAGGTCTTTGCTCTGCTTATCCATTTATTATTTCACTTCATATTCCTTCCCCCCGGAAAGGCTCAGAGTAGCTTACAATAAATTATAACAACCCACAGATAAATGGCAGACTCCCCAAATGACACCCCAACATTTTAGAGCTTCACTCCACTCCAGCTACCTACTCCTACTACCACAGCTATTACGCAGGAACGCAAATCCTCTGGTCCATCCCAACCACACTAACATCTATGGAGGCATCTACATGTATGCTTTACTGCAGCTGACTAATTAGCTCTGCAGTAAAGTGTCACTGTCTACATGTGCGGCACTATTAGGTCACAGTAAACTAAACAGCTCTGCTGTAGGATGGTACTGTCTGGGACAAATACTATCCTCTGGCAGAGTTATTTAGTGTGCTGCAAAACATGTGTAGACAATGGCCAAGGCTGGCAGGGGCACAAGGGTCCTACAGTGCAGGGCTGCCTGCCAGCTAGCTGCACTATAGCACCCTCGTGCCCCAGCCAGCCCCTCCACAACACACTAAGCCAGGATGGAGCAGCTCTGGGCTGGCAAGCTAACCCCCCTGGGCCCTCTGCCAGCCAGGGCTCAACCGCACAGGCTCAACGTGCTGTGGTCCTAGGTGCATGTGTAAGTGCTGCACCTGGGAGTAATAAACTCTGGCGTAAACTGTGCCAGAGTTTATTCAGAAGCATTAATATCATGTGCAGATGTGCCCTATATATAAAAACCTCTTCCCATTTTCTCTTATGCCACCCACTCTCTCCTGCCCCTCCCTCCCATGCAAAGGAGATCCTCCCCTTCTCTCCCAACGTCCCTCCTAATCCCATACCCACCTTGGCCTACAGCTGGCCTTTAAAATGCATAAATAATACCCCTGCTGACCAACTGCTGAAACTTCCTTAGCCTGACGAAGGGTTTTTGAACTCGAAAACTTGCTTAATAACTATTCTCCAACTATTTGGGTTGGCCTAATAAAATACATCAAATTCACCCAAGTAACCTTGTCTGCCTATGTCCTTAGACCAACACGGCTACAACCTACACCCCTGTAAACAGTACCCCCTCCCTCCAACAAATACAACATTTATATCCCTTTATACAAGGGATATAAATTCAAGAGACCCAAAAGAAGGAAATAACTGAATAACCCTCAGTCCTCACCTCCATCCCCAGCCAAAGGCCAATGCCAAAGGGTGCCCTTCAATAGCTTCCCATGGCAAAACTCACCTGGGAGTTAACCCAGGGAGGCCTGCCAGCTCTGTAGGGCTGCAAGCAGACCAGGATCTTCTCTCAGTTTGGGCAGCCAAGATGATGCCCGAGCTGGGCTGTTTGACTTTTATTACACTGAAAGGCTACAAATTTCTACCCTCAAATTTATGGCTGTTCCTTCTCCCAGAGGAAGGGAATATGGTGGAGGCAAACCCTGCAGTCCTCAGGAGTGAGCACAGGCACAGCAGTGGCTCTGCATAAACAGTACTTCTAGTAAGATCTAAGTGATATTTGCCAACAGTCAATACTTCTATAACCTGGAATGATCACATATGATGTCCCCCACTAGGGCAAATCCTGATTATTTTTCAGGAAAAGGGATCATGGTGCTGATAACATCGTGTTACAACTTCTCTCAACCCGTGGCGATACCCTCACATTATCTTCTTACTGGTCTATAAACTAAACTGTCCTGAGAGAGCAAGTACAGTTAAACAGAGACATTGGCTTTTCATGACAGGCAATGGGACAGTAACAAAACAATACATCTGTTTGGAAATCAAGGATGCATTTCTATCACAAAGTGAAGTGATGTACTCTGCAGCCAAGTAGTGCATTTACTCAAATCCA